CAGAGGGTTCTGCTACCAGTAGAACATATCATCATCTACTTGTATAACACCTTACTATTCATTCCAAAGAGTATTTCTACTGGTAGAACATAACTTCAACTACTGGTGACTTAAACATTGTCCTTTTTCATACCGGTAGAACAAGACTTCTACTGATAGATTCTTCATTCTAGCACACTCCTACTAGTAGGTTTACTACCGGTAAAACCTATCTTTTCTGAATTTCTTATTCTAAGGCCTCCGGCTTCACTTCTAACTGATCAAACTCATCCTCACTTGTCCAAATCATCATGATCTTGATACTCCAAGTCTACCTTTACACTTAGACTACCTACAAACACACAATCAATGCATGAATCACAAAACATACTAAGTAAAGCAAGTTAGTCTACTAGCAAACCTAAAGTGAGTACGTTTAGCTATAAAATGATGCAAGAATGAGCACAGAACAATAACACATAAGTTATGGTGATGGTCTTGTAAAATGACAGGTGAAACAAGGTCCTCTACATTGGGTGGAAATTGTGGATAGGATTTGGTGAAGGGGGATTGGAAATGAGTAATAAATTGATACCAATTACTTTTGGATTAGTGGACCAGGTACTATCTTGGAACTTTAGGTAGTCAGTTGAGTTCCTTTTCCCTTTTCTCTCTAATCATAATAGTTGAATGAAAGAATCTAGTGTTTGCATCTTCATCTTACATCCATTGAATTTTGGAACTCTAAGTTTCTTTTCCCTTTTGAGTTGTTCATTCAACTCATGCCTTAGTATTTTTTCTTCTAGGATGTTGTATGGTGTAGGTTCATCCTGCTGTAGTTGATCGATTCTGCTTTTGATGGATATTGTTTTTTGTATGTAGTTTCCAAATTGTTATCCAGGGCTTGCTTTGTAGCTTAGAGGTTCCTATAGAATCTAAAGGCCATAAAACCTCTCGGTTAGTTTTCCTATATTGGTAGGAATGTGTATTGGTAGGATCTTGTGTCTACATTGGTTCAAATTTAAATGGTTTTGTTGTCCAATTCTGGTCTCCATAAGTGTTGAGCAAGAGGAGTGCATGATCTGACTCAATTAAGGGTATGTGTTTGATGGTTGCTCTAAGGAAAACTAACCTCCATTCTATACTAACTATCCCTCTATCCAAGCATTCTTTGATGTTAGTTAACCTTTCCCTTTTATTCGAGCAAGGGTATGGGTTCCTAATATATCCTAGGTCAACTAAGCCATAATCATTATTAAAGCTCTCATAACCACTTGGGAATTCACTTTGAATTTGCTCCATGATGTGTCGGAGATAGTGTTGGTACCTGATTGTAGTGGCATAGCCACCATTTAGGATCCATTTAGGTTCTGGTGGGTCTGAAAAGACCATGGATGATATCATGTTTCAGGAGGAAAATATGATCTCCATGTCCTCTCCTTTTTTCCATCTCAAGCAGATTCCTCTAGATAGTCCTATTGATTCTTGAATCTCCAAGTGCAAGAACCCAAGGCTTGAGAGGATTTTTATGGTTTTCTTAAGAGAAAATTTTATTTTTGATAGAAATAGGAAATCTAGTACACATTCCTTTATTTGCACCCTTAGATGATGAATCGTAAAGGCATGAAGAGCCCTCGACAAGTTCACACATATCCAATCATAATGGAGGTGGGGGCATGGTAAAGCCTGCTGCCTCAGCCATTGTTGTAGTTTCTCTAGTTCACAAAATTTCTATTTCAAGGAAATCCCTTCTGTACTTTTCCTTGACCAGACACATTATTCTTTTATAGGAGAATTTTCTCACTGGTTTCCTTTTTGCCTTGTGCTCTTTTGGCTCAGTCACAACATATGGTTGTCTAGATTCTTTATTTGTTGGATTGGTGTTTCCAATTTTCACAATTATTGTGAAATTAACTGGTGCATTGAATACAAGCATACTATCTTCGCGTCTTTGCACGGACAGTGTATCTAGTTGGGAGGAAGTATTCTCCGGGGGGAGGGGGGTTAGCATTTTTGGTTTCCATGTCTAGGCTCTTAAATGAGATCCATAGGTGTTGTATGGATCTGTTGGCTGTGCAAATTTACAAAATGATTTATCATGGCCTATTCTACTGCATCCATAGTACAAATCCCCCAATCGTTTATATTTTGGTGCAATGAGTTTGAGATGGCCTTCGACTAGAGAGAGCTAGAAGAAATTGCAGAGTGAATTTTTGAGACCAAGTATTTTTCTAGTTCGAAGACAGCCCTTCCATAATGAACCTTGCTTGATTTCTTGTTCAAGGTTTTCAGGATCAACAATGACTATTCCAAGCTTCATAGCATTTTTAGGAGTGATTAAGTCTAGTGGTAGACTGTGTGCTTGGATTCATAAGGGTTTTTTTTATCAAATTAGAGTTCAAAAAAGGTAGAAGTTTCGTTCCATTGTTTGACAACCAGAAGCTGACCATTTACTATCCATTAACTCATTTGAAAGACTCGTTGTTTGATATCTTCGTTGGTAAAGATGAAGATGAATGTGTCCATTTCACCATCTTGGATTTCCAATGGGTTGCCTGCATTCTAAGCTTTGAAGAGTATTGTCTTTACAACATTTCTATTTATTATTTTATTGAGAAATTTTTTCCTATGAGGTATGTTTTTGACACAAACGCTGTTAATGCATTTGGTTGCAGCTGTATGGTGAGTTATGGAGTTTTGGGTTGGGTGCTCAGGGTTCGAATGCCCTTTATTGGGTAGGTTAGCCAAAGATTTTGATGTCTGCATATGAGTTTTGCAAGTTATTGGTTTCTGATAGGTGAGATGTTGATATGTTAGTGGAAGTTAGAGAAGAAGTAGGGATGATGAAGGTTAGAGAGTATGCCTAGTGTTTCTAAAGGGGTGGAGACGAAGAATGGATAGAAATGTGGTTGATTAGGATAAATGAAAGTAGTCATAGAGATAGAGTGCTTGAGGCACAAGGAATAAGTAGGGAACTCAAGGGAAAGGACACCATTGGAATGAGAGGGATGGAGCTCTACTAGGAGAGAATGGATCCATTTATTTATGAATAATATTGTGCACACCAACTATGTGCATCACCTCACTTACACCGCTTGACGTGATATAATCACAATCATTAAATATTTGATAAATTTTGTGGGACTTAATAATCTAATGGTAAATGTTGAGGTGATGTACAAAAAGTGGTGCAGGAATGTGGTGTGTATAGTATTATTGTTTATCAATATCTATATTTATATTTATATTTATATATATACTACTTATAAATGTCAGCATCTGTGATAAAGTTTTGATTTCTTATTAAATCCCTATTTTTTATTATAAAGTCAATGATACTCATATATTAGCTTCCTCTCATTTTTATTTGGGAAAATTTCAACCACACCCCCTGTAGTTTATCATATCTTCAAGGACACCTCCTCTAGTTTCTGAATCTTCAATGACAACCTCTGCCAGATTAAAAATATTAAGTAGAATATAATTTTAGTAAATTGCCCATGATATATTTGAGGACAAACTCCATCTACACCCCCTCTAGATAAACATATCTTCAATGAGACCCCCTCTAGATAAGTATATTTTCAATGAGATCCCCTCTGTTTTCTAATTTTTTTACGTAATTAAATTCAAATCGATTAAAATTCGATTCAAGTTAATTAAAATTTATTTTTTTACATATTAAAATTTGTGCCAATTAAAAATTATAATTTTTTATGGGCTAATTAAAATTTTGTTTGAGCCAATTAAAAATTATTTTTAATTGACTCAAATTAAATTTTAATTAATTCGCATTGAATTTTAATCAGTCTAAATTTTAATATATAAAAATATATGAATTTTAATTGACTTAAATTTTAATAAATCTAATTTTAATTGACACAAATTTTAATAAGAAAAAAATATAAATTATAATCGACTCGAAAGAGAATTTTAATCGGCCATAACAACTCGGATAGAATTCAAATCGGCTCAAATTTTAATATATAAAAAAAAATTAATAGGCTCGATTTTTTTAAAAAAATTTACTAATTAGTAAATAAAAAATTAGTATTTACTAACAAATTATTTACTAAAATTGTTATTTCTGATTTTTTTAAAATTTTAACAGCTCGAATTTTAATAAAATTTTATGTAAAAAAATTACTTGAGGTTATGTAGGGGCATTTTTGGTATTTTAGATGAATTTATTTTGTTAGAAATAATAGTTTAATGATAGGGGGTGTTAATGATGCTTAACTTAAATTAGAAAGAGTGTCATTGTAGATTCAGAAACTAGAGAGAGTGTCATTGAAATTTTTCCTTTTTATTTCGTTTACCTATTTGACTTGAATCTTCTTTTGAACTATTTCATTAACATTATTTGACTTATAAATTCTATATTATTTTTATTCAATTTTTATTCCCTAACTTTCAAATTCTTTTATTAATCGTATATGATTTTTAAAGTCTTTTGAATTTATTTATTAGTAGTTCACTTATATACAATTTTCTATATCTATGTCTATATTTATATGAAGAAATAAAATTCAATCTATATTCTATTACTCTATAGTCTAATATATGTTATAGTTAAATTTTTGGTATACAACAATATCATATTATCATAATACAAATAGTATTGTAATTTAATCAATTTTTTTGATAAAAAATTTAATAAATTTATAATTTAATTAGATGCGTAAATATTCAATAATGATAATCTTATATTAAAAATTCATTATAAACAAAAGATGAAATATGTAAAGTGTCCGAGAGATATTTAAACAAATAAAATATTAGATACTCAAAGAAAGATAAAATACATCAATAATTAAAATTACATAATTTATTATTCAATTTCATTACACATAAAATTTATATCTTATATAAAAAATTATTATTTAAATATATTTACTTGCACGCTTATCCTACATTGCTAATTTATATATAAAGAGTTGAATTTTAATTCATACCAAATGATCTATCCTAAAAAAATTAAAAGGATTTCAATTCACTGCATAAAAAGGCTCATCCTCATTTTCGACACCTGCAACTGAACCACACCGAGCTACACGCCAAATCCTCACTCATTTGAAGAAAACCCCCGAACGCTTAACTCCTCCTCCGCTAATACCAAACCTAGTTTTGTCTCTCTACTTTCTATCTCTACCATTCTGGTCTGACTATCCCTCTACCCCTCTCCACTTCGCATCGCAATGTATGATTCTACCCGCCATAAGCAGCGCCGTGATCCACCACCTCATCGCCGCCGATCATGGTGTTGCTCGTTCACTACACCACCGCGTAGTCCTGAAAACGCGGTCACCACTCACTCGCACCACCACTCCAAACCCTCTCAAAAGACCGAGTTACCCTCAAAGCAGACCAATTCGTTCCCGAACTCTCCCCAGAGCTCCAAACTCGGCTTCGTCGGTCGGATCTTGTCACCTGGTCGCGTCTCCCCTATCGACTCGGTCGACAACTCCGTCCAAGAAATCATTGAACCCTCGCCGATCCGTACAACAAATGCACAGTCAAGGTTTACGAATTCCCCGAAATTGCCCTCATCGGAGGGTTCTGAGAATACCAACAATGGTGTGAAAGAGGAGGGTAGTTCGGGGGTTTTTGACGTGAGGCTGAATTTGAAGGGAAAGAATGGTGGGTCTTTGGTTTTGGAGTTGAATTCTGTGGTTTTAAGTTCGAATAGTTCGGTTTTTGCGGACTTGATTACGGATTATAGGAAGGGTTCGATTGGTTCGGCTGCAAGTTTGTGTAGAATTGAGGTTCCTGAAGTGGAAAATTTGAACGTGTTTCGGGAGACTATCGAACTTATGTTTGAGGAAGATATTACCAAACAGCTCTTGAAGAAAGGAGTGTATCGGTCTATAGATATTCTTGAGGTAGTTCTTGAATCAGTACTTTCCTTTTTCTTGATTTTGACAGTGCATTTTTGTTCTTGTAGGAACGTTGTGAAAAGGGTCTTGTTAAATGTGTTAAATGTATGTGTGTGTGTGTGTGTGTGTGTGTGTGAACATGTTGAAGTTTGAAATAATAAGATTTGAAATTAAGGTTGTAGTGAACCGCAAATGTGCAAATTTTTATCGAGGAAATCTTGTGGTTGAAGTTATCAAACCATGAAAAACAATTGTAAAATCTGTAAATTGGCCATCTAAGCATCACTAAAAGGAGTGTATTTTTATACGTTAAACATGTGTACACTCATTTATTTCTACAGTGAATGAAAAGGTGCTAATAGGATGTTTGTTGTAAATACCTTGAACTTTGATCTGTAAATCAGTATAAAATAAGATAATGACCAAGATAATGCTAATCTTGTTAAATGCCGAAATTTAGTGTTTTGAGTATCAAGGAATCCCTGTTGTTGAATTCACTAAATTATGGGAACTATACAACAATCATATTTTGGGGAACATTGTTAGGTGTTATATTAAGTCTATAAATATAAATTACAGTCTTATTTCTATTATTGTTGGAATATAACTGAAATCAAGGGTTATTGTGTAAATTGTGGATGGTGGACAAATGAGATTATGTTGAATCTGTCAATTCCATTATTTACGTAGACCTGCAAGCTGGAGGTTATCCTTTGATTTTCTTTGTCTATAAAGCTCAACGACTGATATAGGGACACCAAAAACTCCAAATAGGACAAGAAAATGGCCACACTATCTTCCACTTACCCCTTAAATGTTGAGGATTCAGACATGCAGCTGGTCACTTAAAACACTCACAAAACTCCTCTGCAAACTCAGTATGATGGCATTAGCCCTCCCCCGCGTTCTCCCTGGTGTCCCTTTCCACATAATCTTCTCAACTAGAAGACTTCTTGTTGTGCACTCTATCATGTAGTACCCTCTCTGCTAGCACCTAAGACACGCACCCTGGCTTTCCACTTATTGTTCTTGGAAGAGCTACTGATGCTGCTTGAAAAAAAAATGCATTTTTCTATTTGAAGGCCAAGTCCTTCTTGCCTTTTTTCTTTACTGAAACTATATCTGATATTTCTTCATCCTCGTGATTAGCTATGCAATGGTTGGAACTTTTGTTCTTTTTGTTGGGTTCTTTACAGAATTCTTACGGAGACATGTAAAATTTAGGAACATTTATAGGTTGCAAAGCAAATTCCCAATGCATCTGAAATTATCTTATTTTTTATTCCTGTTATTTGAAAAGAGCTACTTCAAGTTGTAATCTCACACTGTATCTCTAATCCTGTTGTTTAAGTTGGTGTTCCCATTCCCGTTGTGTAGCGATGCATGTTGTTAGTAAATACTTGTTAAGCATGAAGCATATGGATAAGACAGACGTACAAATGCTTTGCAAGTCTTTAGACAAACGTATACTATAAATGACCTTTCTCTCTGCTGACAAGGCCCACTTGGCAATTTCTATATCCCCTTTCCAAGTTACATCCATTTTTTTTGGCAAACCCTTGTATGACTCATCAAGCAGCATCAGTGTACTTGACATCAAGCATGGGACCGGAGAAGAGGGGGTGGGGTTGTTAAGGAGAAGGGAAAAAGGAAGTGATGCAAACATGAACGCTTTTTTAATGATTTTGTCCATACCCCAATTGTGGAGTTTTTATCATGAATTCTTATATGCTTTTTTCCTATGAATTTTAGATATCTGCAGGCCTTATGTTCACTAGGGGTGTTTTGGCCTGTTTGAAGTACCTTGAGGCAGTACCTTGGAGTGAGGAGGAAGAAGAAAAGCTAAGGAGCCTTTTAGCTAAATTTAAGTTTGATGATGCAACAGCGAGAGACATTTTGGCCAGACTCTATTCGCTTGACTCTATACATGCACAACAATCTCTGGCTAGACAGCTTGTTTGGTCTATTACTACTGGTGTCGATGCCAATGCAAGAAATGAGCTAAAGTCTTTAGTCAAGGGCCTCCTATGCAAAAGCTCCGTCTACGAGAAGGACTATCCTGATCTCAACAAGGAGGATATCTTTGTTGTTTGCCAGTCTTGTCTTGCTTCACTGGTCAGTCTGTTTGAGGAGGCTTCTGGCACAAATCCCGGTGGGAAATTGGCAAAGAAGGGGAAAGATAAGCCTTTGATCGAACGCATTTCAAAGCAGGTTGATAACATCAACTGGCTATTAGAGGTTCTACTTGATCGGCAAATTGCAGAGGAGTTTGTGGATATGTGGGCAAATCAAGGGGAATTACTTAGGATGCATGGGAGTGCCTCTCCAATGGTTAGATATGAGCTCAGCCGTGTATCGGCAATGTTGTTCATTGCAATGGGTACCAGAAAACTGCATTGTCAGGCAGAAACAAGATTAGTGCTTCTTCAGGCATGGTTTGGACCAATGCTATCAGACTTTGGTTGGCTACAGAGATGCAAGAAGGGCCTAGATATGAAGGCATTGGAGGAAGCCATGGGCCAGGCTCTCCTTACCCTTCCTTTGAAGCAGCAATACACGCTGTTTATGGAATGGTTCCAGTCATTCTCAAAGCATGGTACTGACTGCCCTAATCTCAGTAAAGCTTTCCAGATCTGGTGGCGTCGATCATTCCCAAGAGGCTCTGAATCTTATGCAATTGATTCCCGGTAACCGGAGCTACTTTGTGATATCTTCTTGTTCCATATAATATCACAGGGTTGTAGGCTAAGCGATTCTTGAATGTAAGGAAGTCAATAATGTAGATCAACTACGTAGAATGTGCAAGGATTTGGAGTGATGAATGTCTTTTATCAGTCCACCTGAAATTGTATTCATCTCCCATGTGCTCATCATCAGGAAGTTTGAAGTTATAAGGATCTCACAACTTTTGAAGAATGTTCCAACTATTGCATATATTAAAACATTTCACACGCCCCCCATTTGCCGATGGTAGATTTCTGTGTTGCTTATTAACAATATAGCCTTGTCAACTCACACATCATGGTTTGACTTACCATACTGCAAAATGTGCTTTCCCACTAGTGTTTTTCATGGGTCACTTCAAATTAGATCATTCCTGCTCTTGTTGGCCTTTAAAGTGCCAGTTTCTGGCTCGTTGAAGAAGAATGATTTTGGCTTGAGCACATTTTTGCCAATTTATCTTTAATTCTGTTTATTTTTNTCAGATCATTCCTGCTCTTGTTGGCCTTTAAAGTGCCAGTTTCTGGCTCGTTGAAGAAAAATGATTTTGGCTTGAGCACATTTTTGCCAATTTATCTTTAATTCTGTTTATTTTTCGACTAGCAAATAGTACATGATCATGGTGGTTTTAAACTAGATGTGAGTTGAAGAAGGTGAATTTCCAACTCCTTAAACGGTGTCAAATGCTGTCCCAAAGTTTAGGAGAAGCATCCGACTGGTGTCTGATACTTTGAGTCTCTCCAAAGTTCGTAATGTCATATATCCACAGGGCAGGGGATGGGCAATTGCCCTTCTCCCGTGATCTTCCAAGTTTCTAATTTGCTATTACAATTATGAAGAATACTTGATCCCTCTCTCCCCATTTTAAAATTTTCACAGTTGCGCCATTAAAGAGTTATCCAAAAGGTTTGCCTCCTGAGTTCATCTTTCATTTGAGAAAAAGGCCTTAATGCTTATTGTATCGGGTGTTTAAAGGGAATGTGTTATGGATGTGATAAGCCATCTGTTGAACCTGAAACTCGGACATTGAAATTGAAGGTTCTTCTTTTTGGTCTCCCACTTTGCTTCAATCAATGCTACACCAGAACTAATACTTGAATTGAATCTAACGACAAGGTGTGCTCAAATACTTTGCATATTATACATGAGTATACAAAACCACAAACGCATTGATTGACCAAGATGTGAGGAACTCCCCAAAAGTATTGAGAGCTCGTTTTCTACATGCTGCAATGCAGATCTGAAGCAGAAAGTGGAGATCCAGATAAGCCAGGGGCGCATAATGTGTTCTTGCTATTTTCTGTTTATTTGATTTCAAAACCCAGCTTCTTGTACATCTCTGTCTTCTTCTCCTATAACCGCAATCTTCAAGGTGTACTGCTGCACTCACTTATGCTTCTTCCCGCCCGCCAGAATACGCTGAATCTGAAGCCCTCTGCTGAAGGCTTGGTTGAAAAGTAGCCTAGTTTGGAACTCTGAGACAAATGGGAACCAAGCCAGAACAGCAACTGGCGTAAAGATCACCAGCCCCATTATGTACTCGTACCCTCTTGCCAGAGCTTTAACAGAACCCCACATTCCTAAGCCCTTCACTATTGGCTTGCATGCCTGGGATATCTGAAAAGAAAGTAATACACTTAATAATCTGAGAGGTTATGTTATATAAAAAATAAAAAAATAAAAATAGTTTTCCACTCAAGTAACTCGATAGGAAGTCTTTCCAAAAGACAATCAAGAAATTGCAGTCAGAGGTGATGACCAAAAGGTTTGGTGTCAGAAAATCACAACACATAAGGAGAGACTCCTATTTGAAACAGATTTAGTTAGTTGCATCTTCGCTCTTTGGCTGAATCAAAATGAAGATTAAACATCATCAAAATCCTATGGATTGTACAACGTCCCAATTTCAGATGCACAAATACACACGTGCCTTTTTTTTCTTAGAGAGGTGAACACACGCATTTCTGCTATGTAGAGTGTAAAACCAACAGTGTTCAACAGAGATAAAATCTCAGATGTAGGATATGCACCTGCAGAAGAGCCCATCCTGTGGGCAAGAAGGCCAATAAGCTGGCAAAGATGTCACCAACTGTAAGACTAAGGAATGAGAACAGAATGGCAAGAGTGACTATGAACCCAATAAAGAGGAACAACTTGAGGAGTCTGAACATCAGCTGGAAATCTGCACTGAATTTCTTTCTACCCATGGACACAATCTGCAGATGAAAAATGCATTAATTATCTGGATAATGTTCAAAGCACGACCAGTAATCAGGAGAATCCGGTTAAACAATTTTACATTCGACATTGTTTTAGAATTTGAGCACTGACCTTCAAGATGATCATTGCGGCAACAATGACCAGCCAAGACAGACCATAGACCTGTAATTGGCAATAGCATATCAGATGATAATTCCAACATTACATTCATGGTACTCTGCTGTGCATACATATGTATCAATACACAAATTAGGGATGTATTAGGATATGGATGGCATGAGGTTTTCAGACTGATGTTACTGGACTGGATAAGATAGTAATAATATAGATACAGAAGGGGAAAGATTTAAATGGCTGGTATTTCAAGACAAGTCATATTGGAAAACCAACAGCTTGAACAGCATATCAAAGGGAAAAACAACATACGAAATATCTAAGGCCGTTCATATACGTACCATGATGCTTGTGTCATTATTGGCCACATGTAGCTGATAAACAATGCCATACTGGTAGATGAAGAAGCGGAGAGAAAGAACAATCTCACATAACCGTCCAAAAAGTCCAGTGGACTGCAGGTGCTCCTGTTCCTCCTCCCACCACGACTCCCAACTCTTGGCCGCTGGAACACCAATACCACCATGGTTACTTATCCACTTTGTCCAATCCTCCAAGTCTTCCACAATCTTCTGCCACTCAAATCCTGATGGATTAAAAAGGAAGGGCGCAAACAACCAAGAACCTACTAGAAACCACATGGAGAATGTAAGAAGAATATAGGCAGTAGAATCAGGAGCTGCTGAGCCATAAATTTGATAAGCTATAAGCAAAATCATTAGTTCCAGCCCTTTAGTGAAATGACTCCTTGAGTACATTCTGTAGTTCTCCGCAAACTTCTCGTGCCGCACAACAAATCCACGCCCAGTGGCTCTGTACTTTGCTCCTCCATGCAAAATCGTACGCCCAAAATAGTGCAACTTTGTCCCCAGAGAGAAAGTAAAGAAAACGGCTGACAGCTGAAGCTGCATGATTATTATGTCGCCTGCTGCAGTTCTGAACCCTCTCTCGAGTCCAATCTCCATAACCATGGGCAAGGCCATCAAAAGACCAAGTTGAACAAGGGACTGAGAAGCCATGGCAGCCTTCAGAGCATTTTCTCCCTTAGACCTCGCAAATTTAACTATCGACTTCTCCAATCCACTCAATGAAAGGTAGAGTTTCCCATATAAGAATGCATAAACCGTAAGGACTACCATCTGTACACCATCAGAAAAACGCATAATTAGCTGGAAAAGATGCAATGAAGAAAGAGACGTACGCAAACAGAACTAATCAAAATCCTATGCTGAAGATATAATAGCTCCACATATTTTAGATGTGCCTTCTACAAATAGAACTAGATCTCAAGTTTTGATTAGAAATGCATATAAAGGTTATGGCACAAAGAGTTCAGCAAACCTAAAACTAAAAGTACATTTATCAAACTGTGAATTATTGTAAACTTGTGGACTGAGACCCTTCCAAAGTATAAACATGACAAAAATCATGCTACTTATTAGCAAAACTAGATCACTGGCAAGTATCATATATTTATGTCCCTCCAAAAAAGCTCGAACAATGGACCTTCCCAGTACCAAAGTGTGCTGCACAATATCTAGATGTCAAATTTCCAGTCAAACAGCTTCTGAAAGATTTCATTTTCAGGTTGGANTTTTTATGTCCCTCCAAAAAAGCTCGAACAATGGACCTTCCCAGTACCAAAGTGTGCTGCACAATAGCTAGATGTCAAATTTCCAGTCAAACAGCTTCTGAAAGATTTCATTTTCAGGTTGGAAATGACAGCATTTCATACGATTTCAGTGATCCCAAAAAGTATACCTTCTCAGAGGTTACTGGTGGACAAAAAACTGGTTTAAAGTCAAAATGACAAAATCAGTTATTTGTGAAAACTAAAATTCCATCGCAAGGCAGCTTTTTGGGTTGGTTCCCTTGTGGCACTATTTGACCCATTAAACATAAAACAAAAAGGAGAAAAATATGTAAATAGGATTTCAAAGCTTATAAGGTGCCTGACAAAATATCTTAAAGTGGTTCACCAAATTTTCAAAGAATAAAATGCAAAGCTCTAGGTTCAGCCTTCCCCCCCTCCCTCTCCTCCTTAGCATCTCTCTTTCCCTCTTGGTTTTCCGAAAGGACCATTCTCCAAACAATTACCAAAGGGAAGTAACATGCAGTAGTAACAGTCTGGTGACTAATTCCATTTATTTGTCCCTTTATAGTCCGTACATCTGAAGAGTTTCTGTTAGCATGTTTGTTATACACAGTATAATTTTAGTTTCTTGCAATTGTTCGTATTTAGATTTTTATTTTGATGACGTTCTTAACCTGGGAAACTACTAAAATGACCCAAATTTTAAAGTAATTTAGTCATAACAGTGTCCATTTACTTCAAGATTGTGTTCTGCAAGAAATTTGAATTACCATCGAGCTGATATAAAATCCAGTGGTTGTATAATAACAAGACAGCATGCGGAAGAAGTCAAAACGATGGCCTAATCTGTAGATATCCCGGCTGAGCGTCTGTTCCCCATTACCACATGCCACTTTTGCTTCGAAAAGTGAGATTTGGTTGAGGCCAACATCTCGTCCCTTCCCAACTTGGATATATTCATGGTGAGTAATATTCCCACGTCTCAGCGTAGAGTTGAAACCTATAGTGAGCAAAATAAATATCAAGAAGTAAATGCAGCATCTGAGTATAAAGTATGGTTGGTCAAATCTAGACAAAACAATCAACATGAAGGTAATTAAATTGTATCTANAAATATCTTAAAGTGGTTCACCAAATTTTCAAAGAATAAAATGCAAAGCTCTAGGTTCAGCCTTCCCCCCCTCCCTCTCCTCCTTAGCATCTCTCTTTCCCTCTTGGTTTCCGAAAGGACCATTCTCCAAACAATTACCAAAGGGAAGTAACATGCAGTAGTAACAGTCTGGTGACTAATTCCATTTATTTGTCCCTTTATAGTCCGTACATCTGAAGAGTTTCTGTTAGCATGTTTGTTATACACAGTATAATTTTAGTTTCTTGCAATTGTTCGTATTTAGATTTTTATTTTGATGACGTTCTTAACCTGGGAAACTACTAAAATGACCCAAATTTTAAAGTAATTTAGTCATAACAGTGTCCATTTACTTCAAGATTGTGTTCTGCAAGAAATTTGAATTACCATCGAGCTGATATAAAATCCAGTGGTTGTATAATAACAAGACAGCATGCGGAAGAAGTCAAAACGATGGCCTAATCTGTAGATATCCCGGCTGAGCGTCTGTTCCCCATTACCACATGCCACTTTTGCTTCGAAAAGTGAGATTTGGTTGAGGCCAACATCTCGTCCCTTCCCAACTTGGATATATTCATGGTGAGTAATATTCCCACGTCTCAGCGTAGAGTTGAAACCTATAGCAAGCAAAATAAATATCAAGAAGTAAATGCAGCATCTGAGTATAAAGCATGGTTGGTCAAATCTAGACAAAACAATCAACATGAAGGTAATTAAATTGTATCTACCAGCAAAGATATCCTCGCTCAGATTGATGCCCCTTGAAGCCTTGCTAATGCCACCACGGGTAATGTGAAAAATTCTGTCGAACACATCTGGATGTCCATAGTGGAATCGAACCCTAAATCCCACCAATTTTGAGAAAACAAAGCCAAACGCATGTCACAAGTTCCAACCAAGGCAATAACAAATGAGTTTTATACAGAAGATACTAATTTGATGAAATGAATTGATCAAATGGACCTGGTGTCCAATTCTCAGTGCATCCAAAAATGAATAATGCACATTCAGAAGGGTTTTTTTTTTGTTTTTTTTTTTTTGGGGGGGGGGGGGGTTTAGTACAATTTTTTTATGATATTGTACCTGCACGGCATGCTCGGATCAAAATTTGAAATCATTCATCTACTAAATGGACTTGTCCTAATCATTTGTGGTAGGTATCATGCATATAGATGACTACCTTAAACTATTACTGATCACATACAAAAGGATGAAGATATAATTTTTGCCTTAGAAAAGAAAACAAAAGAACATACTTTAAAGGTCTTGCAAGAACTCTTTGACCGATGGTGACAAAGCTCGTTTCTTGATTTGACATGAACCAAGCCAAAGAAGAAACACTGGAACATAGATTTGAAACCATGTCAAACAATTAAAAATCTCGATGTAACAGATAAACTCATAAGCCCTACAAACAATCATCTAACCTTCCAGTGAAGATATGTTCACGAACACCCAAAATTGTAGGTGGGCGCACCCCATGATCTTCATTAAATTCTTCAAGTAGGTTACGCATCTTAAAAGCCTCCTCCAAATAATTGTCCTACAACCGAAAGCAGAAAAATAATGTAGAAGTGCCCCCAAAAAATTTCACTCAACCACAATGGTTTTAACTTCTTTCTGCTTTACCTGATTCATATCAATAGTCTGAAGAGCTTCCCCTCGGCTAAAAATTATAGCATGGTTTTGATTTTCAGGTTTTCCTTCTCCTATCTTTGCAGCACCCGGCAATTTTATACGGTAGATTTCCTTAAAGTAAACACAAAGCAACTAGGGCTTGAGCAATCAATCAACATGATTATTTTACAATTGAATTGAGAAGGATAATTACCTGATCAAGATTATCAACAGCTTTAACCAATACAGAGTAATAGACCTTTTGTACTTTTCCACCTTCACTTTCTTCGACTTCATCAATATATGCTACACGGAGAGATGGATTGCTATAGCAGCAGCAGGAACCAAATTATCAAATAAGATTAAGTCATCAGGTTAACACTAAAGAGAAATCAAACCATAGGGAAACGTTAATCAGATGGGGAACCTACTTAACCATCAAATTTAAAATATCCGTTGCACGACGATCTCCACTCCGCTTTTGGTTCCCATAATTCTGACAGGTGGCAACATAAGTGAATTTCATGTCAGCTACAGCCTCTAATTGTGCATACAAGGATCTCTGACTTTTCTTATCTTCCTCTGATGGAACTGTTACAGCCTTGTAGCCTTCTAGTATCTCTGCTCAGGTGATATTCAGAGTATTAAGAGCCCAACATATTACCTCCAGGAAGTTACTTTAATAATCTCCAGACTTTTACTGTATTTCAGAAGAAACTACAATATTCTATAAGTAAATACATAAATCAAATGCAGATCGTGGTACGAGCAGTGAAGTCAAATGCTTGTCACATATAATCCTTCTCTTCAGTCTTAAACCTCAAGTCACAGGCATTCACATAAACTATTTAACAGTAAATCTATAGAAATCTTATAGCACTTAATTGGACACAGCTTCTTCAATTTCTGAAACTTTACTAAAAGCCTGAGAGTACAAATCTAGCAGACTGGGATCAAAGGATGATTGCCCTTGACATACTACTTTGAAGTTTGAATCTGGATGCGAACACCGAAAATAAGACACAATCAACAGTAAAAATATGAACATGTGTTATTTCATTACTTTCCAGTGCCTGTTTGCAAGACNATTACTTTGAAGTTTGAATCTGGATGCGAACACCGAAAATAAGACACAATCAGCAGTAAAAATATGAACATGTGTTATTTCATTACTTTCCAGTGCCTGTTTGCAAGACCCGCTAGTTCATTCATGTCAATAACTGACTCTAGTGCGCATTCATGAACAATCATCTAACTCTACGGTACTTTCACATTACTATTAATTTGAAGGGAAGCTGAGAACTTGATGTAGGGAGTTTGGAGAAACACATGCATCTCCTCAAAGTTTGGCAGTCCAAAACTTGAGACCTTTCAAAGTGAATATTATATTTTTTTTTTCTGGCACTGTGATAGGAATCGGATTATATTTCGTTATAGTAGGCGCAGACGTAGGGATTATTTCGTTATTTGTCATTTTATTTTTAGGAACTTAGTTGTCATTTTGATTATTTATTTATTTTAGGGTTTGTGATCTCCTTATATATATAGAATTTGTGAATTCCTTATATATATAGGATTTGTGAACTCCTTATATATATAGGGAATACATATTTGTTGTGGGATACTTTTAATTATTATTGATTATTGATATTGAATCCTGATATTACTTCTTCCTCAAATTCTCTCTCTTTTCTCATCCCTTTCTTCTTATTTTCTCATCTCCTTCTTCTTCCCTTCTCATCCCTAATTCTTCTCTACTATGATCTACATCAATTTCGTATCAGAGCTAATACGATCTACATCACACTGTTCTTATCCTTTGAATCTTTTGTACAACAAACACACCCANCTTTTCTTATTATTTTCTCATCCCCTTCTTCTTCCCTTCTCATCCCTAATTCTTCCCTACTATGATCTACATCAATTTCGTATCAGAGCTAATACGATCTACATCACACTGTNCCTTTCTTCTTATTTTCTCATCTCCTTCTTCTTCCCTTCTCATCCCTAATTCTTCTCTACTATGATCTACATCAATTTCGTATCAGAGCTAATACGATCTACATCACACTGTTCTTATCCTTTGAATCTTTTGTACAACAAACACACCCAAGGGAGTGGCAAAATTACAAAGAATCCTCTCTGAGATTGAATTTGGAAAGTAGAATATTTCTCTCACCACTTTCAGAAGCCATGTCCAGAAAAGCCTGAAGCTTCAAAGCCCTTCTGTAGTACATCATCCCTCTAACTGCAGAACAAATATATATTCGTAACAGAGAGACAGTGATGGCATATTTTTAAAGCATGGGGAACACCTAAAGATACCTGTTCTGCACAGAGTCTGTCCTCTTAAGGAGACCCAATGACGTAGTTGCAAAATATTTTCTTCATTTTCCCAGATCTCACTTTCTTTCTTACAGTTGAGGCGCTCCATAAAGTTGTTCCATTCATCTAACAGAATTATGAAGATTGTTTTTGAAAATAAGCAATTCGAATCATATGGAAACCATAAACACAAAGGTAAAATGTAAACAGTGATACTGAGGTGTTCAAATATTTAAAACCTGGGAAGATTTTTTGCAGGTANTTGTTTTTGAAAATAAGCAATTCGAATCATATGGAAACCATAAACACAAAGGTAAAATGTGAACAGTGATACTGAGGTGTTCAAATATTTAAAACCTGGGAAGATTTTTTGCAGGTAGTAGATAACTGATACACCATCTTCATTTTCCATCTCAAGGTCACTCTTAGAATATACAGTCTCCTCACTGTAGTAGGGAGTCATGACACTGCCATGCCAAGTGAATATAATTATATGATAATGAAACAGTGAAGAATTGAAAAATCAAAATAGATTCATTTGCATCTCAAATAACACAATCATGATACCTGAAAACTCATCCATTTTCTTCACATTTATTTCATCACAAATTTCTCTATCAGTTGATATAATTTACTAGTTCAAACAAATGATGATGATGTTAGTGACTAGATTAACCACCTATTTGATGAAAATTTCTGGCCAAGAGTGGATCTTTACTTTAATAGGTCATAAAATTTTATAACACTCAACTGAGTGTGTATGAGAAACTTAAATACCAACAGGCATTTGGTCCAATAGAACTCTTTGCCTTGTGAAGGCTTTGAGGTCAAGGGTTCAAGCTCCCCTCCTTCAAAAAAATAAAAATAAAAATAACTTAAATAATAAAAGCATATGAGATGTCCATAGACATATAATGACTACTCTAACAACTATATTCCTCCAAACATGCCAAAGATTATCGATGCATATAATGAACACAAGAAACTATGAGCTGCACCTGAATGAGAGCATTTTGCGAACTCGAGGTGCACGTGGCATATCCATGAATAATGAATTTGTGAAGAATGCAATTCTTCTGCGTGCTTCGAGGTTTGTTGGCACATCAATGGCAGACTCTTTTACCGTCAGAAGGAGATGGAGGCGTCTTATCTATGACAATAACAACCAAAAACGATGTATCATTTGTTACCCAAAATTGAGGGTTTGATGCGTGTATGAATGTGTATATATACAAGAAAAGTACCTGTTCTTCCCATTGTGCTGTAACTACAGGAGGGAACATAATAGAAGGTTTTGAGTCGGTATTTGCAAAAAGTTGTCCCTTGCTACTATGACCAAGCTCTACCAATTCACTGAAAAGTTAGCATACTGTTATTACTAACAGATATGCGATTGAGAATATTGAATATGGCACTGAACTCTTCAAACAAAATTTTAGTCCTATTAGAATGCTAAAATATCCACCAACCGAATCTCATTCACCATCATGTCACGAGTAACTACTTCCAGCATGTCTTGCAGTAACAAGACCACAGAATCTTTATTGGATGGATCAGCATCTTTCTGAAACATGGCAGGAAGATTTATATTTTAAAAAATTACATATATATGGATAACACGTGTATATTATTAATTCTCATGCAAAGGTGTCTCACCAATATATCCACAAGCTCCACAAATTTCTTGCACAGAGTAGGCAAAGGACCCATTCTGAAATTTGCAAGAAATGTATTCTTGGAAATGTTACTTTCAACTTCCCTAATAATGAGGCCAATAATCCTGCCAAATCGGAACAAACATTAGAATCACAATAGTGATGGAAAATTGGCAATAGCATTTAGACTCGAAAACATCAACGCCATCATAGTGCTTAAGCTTCTCTAATAATCAACTAACTACACAAACAACAAAGAAGGAAGAAGTAAAAAATCTCCTGTAAGAAGTAGTCCTGCTCTATCTCATGTAAATCTTCAATGACTCATAATCCAAGCATCAGAGGACTCATAAACAACCATCAGTACTACAGACATTGAACCATATATATACATTTATATATTATACTATTGCCTGAGGTATGCAAACAAGGTGTTTTAACAGACGAGCATCCCTTTCTATATAACAACAGCAAGAAATAAACTACTTGTCCTCTAACAAAGATAAAAGTGATAATAACTAATAGGCTCAACAAAAACAGATAATATGGGAAGGACCAGTTAATGTAGTCAACTAACTTAAAGGAATAAAGTATCTTTCATAACCTTTTCTCAGTTTCTCCAACTACCAAAGCGTTCAGCACAAGTTTGAAAGATTCATAGCATTCAACAACAGCACATTTCATATATTCATCAGAACATATCCGCTTCCAGAGGTCAGCATCTTTGGACCGAAATTGAACTGCCATATCCAATGCAATTGGGATCTGCAAAAGGCAGAGTCAATAGCAAGATCAAGAAACAGGTAAAAGAAATTTTTTAAGAAAAAATCAGGAGACAGCATGAACCTTGCTAGCAAGCAAAAAGGGTGGCCACTGAATTAGTTTCAGGCTAGGATCTGAGGAATAAGGAACTAACAACAGATCCATCTCCCTGAAATAAATGAAAACCGTTTTAGTTCCAACTGCATGATGAAACAAATACATACACATACATGATGCATACATAGGCACATAAATGCATAAATACCAATATATCAGCACACACACACATAAACACGCAAACTAGGGCCTTTCCTGTCGCTTATGAGATCTTCTTCACGGAAACTACATATTACTTCATTCCATAACTGAGCAAATTTTGCAGCTTCAGTTCTCCTACTAGCTGTAACCTATACAGATAAAAATGTTAATGTGAACATCTAGATAATCCTTCCCGTCTTCAAATGTCCTTAAATATCGTAACTGTGGAAAGATGAAATGAAACCTCATGAAAACGCTTCGAGAAAGAAAATCCCCTTTTCTTCTTATCAGAAGGCACCAAATATGTGTTGAATGCACCAGGTAAGGACTGGAACCGTGACCTTAGCATGCCCAGAGTTCGTATCTGTAAGAAGAGAAGTGAATATGACCATCAACCAGCAAAATAGCAGATTTAAATAATTAAAATGAACACTAACCACCAAGAGAGCAGATATAATAAGTTCATATATTAACCTACTGACCAACTGCAGTGCCAGTGCTGTTTCATTTTTCTTGGACAATTACAAGAATTGAATTAAAAAATGATAGTTATGTACCACTGTATCTTAGTTCATTAAAGGGTCCCCAGGTTCCCTGTTGAAGACATGGTTTTTACATGAAGGAGAAATAGACCATGTTGAATATATCTGGGGAAAACCAATTTAGTGGTTCTCCTTTCTATACTTACTAGCCTGACTTGATTTTGTAACAGGAAAATACTCACCACCTCGCCCCAACCCACACAGAAGAAAGGGACAAAGAGACAATTGATTTTAAGTGCAAAAGAAATTATTAATTATGAGTTTCGAATAACCATTCTCTGACAACTCTAATGTAGGACTTGTAACAAAACTGTGTTGTCTAGGAGCAAAAATTGTGCATTTGAAAAAATTATATCTTATTAGAAAAGGAATACTCTTTCCATGAGCCCTATAATTTTATTTTTCTGGCCAAGGCATGGTCACGAGTATGAACAAAAAAGGTATGCAGATGATTCCGTTATAATGACATGTGAAAAGTGCAGGACAATGTAAAACGAGAAGAGTTCAAGAAAATAAATTGAAATACAAAACAAAAATGAAAATAAAAGAAAGATGATTGTTTCCAAGAATTACCTCTCCTAGACGATCAAAGGCACCAATAACACCACCACACAAAGTTGAGTAAATAGCATACCAAATTTGAGTATCCATAAAATAAACCTGCATAAAATTTGTGAAATGTGTGAGATAATTCATCGTGGACAAGATAAGAATCATGTTTACAAGATCTAAACTACGGAGCAAACTATCAACTGTCAAAACAAAACTATTAAGACACACCAAGATTACTGGTGCCCAGAGTGAAGCAACTGCTCCATAGTTGTTCTTAGCTGCATTGACATAAAACGAGTTAACATGAGACTATCAGTTGAGAAGAAAAGAATGAAAAGAAGGAACAAATATTGGATATATACCTTCTGGGAAAAATTCATGCCAAGTATATTGAACACGGTGAATACTCATTATATCTTTTGTTGGCTTCATCAGAGGTTTTATCTAGGTAAAATAGAAAAAATGGTTAGAAGAGAACATACCACTAAGCTCAGTTTATTTCCAATAATAAATAAAATGACAGATCTGGCAACTACCGTGACAAAGTAGCTAAATGCGAACTTGGAGCACAGTAGTAGCACCCAAAAGAGAGTATATCTGGAATCAACAAAATATATTCAAACAATAAGCCAATTTAAAGAACAAAAAAAAAAAAAGGCATGCGATAGACAATTCCAAATGGTATACTCACTTTATAAGTGCAAATTGACTCTCATGCATTCCTCTCCCCACATAGATTCTGGGCTGTTGAAAACGAAATAGATTCATGCAGGCAAGGAACATTAGCTCATAGACTGAAAAATGATATTGAGGGAAGAGGCGTGTGCATTTTTTTTTTGGGGGGGGGGGGGGGGGG